TCAGAGAGCAAGTAAAAAAAAAATTATTCTCAAAAAACATAAGCGGTTACAAAGTTCTAGGCAAAACCAAGTGAGAACGGGTTTCTGTGCAGGCGAGATGGTGATACTTTGTGTTTAATTTCAGCTCACTAACTCATCATCAGTTAAAACCTGGTTTCGATTAAGAGAGAGTTTCCAAGGAAGAGAGATGCATGTCTCGATGGGAAAGCTAGTAGCATATTCTGTGGAACTGTGCTCTGGTCAAATCCAGCTGGAGGTGACCCAGAAGGCATGAGGACGTGACGTTTAAAGGAAGATACCAGAGTCTGCTGGACCAGAGAGTCTGGATAGTTGGGGCAAGCCAGCGTAGTGGGGTGGAAAGAGCCCTGCATGTGGGGTCCAGAGCCTGCCCCTTGCTTTTGCCCTCTGGGACTTTGGGCAAGTGTCCAAGCCCTCCGAGCTGTGGTTTTCTTGTCTGCAAAGTGAAGCAAACAGTGGCTACTTTTAAGGCCACGCAGAGGAATGAACGAAAAGGCAGGCACGGAGTCAGCCGCACGGTAGGTGCTTCGTAAACGGAACTGAGGCTGAGACCGAGGTCAAGCCCTTGGATTCCTGAAGGTCTTTAAGACCCCGAATGTCCACGGGTCTCAAGGGCCCATGAAACGGACCATCATCACCCGGCCCCTCCGTCCACCTGTTTTTCCCAAGAGCTAAAGACACGGGTACATTCCATTTGGGGGGAGGGGGGGAAACGTGGTCCAAAATCTAAACTTACAAAGAAGTTGAGTTCAAGGCTTTTTTTAAAAATGGGATCTGGGCTTCTGGAGTGTCCCAGAGGGAGTGTGATTCGCAGAAGGTGGGAAGTTACTCTTCTGCTCAACATCCTGTGCGTTAAATCTTAGAATCCAGACGGGTTCTTGCAAGTGAGAAGAAAATATGGAGGCAAAGGAGAGGGTTAGAGAAGGAAGAAGGAGAACAATTCTGGTGGGAAAAGACCAGGGGAACAAGAACTCCAATCGGAGGGTGGGGAGGATGTGACGGGGGACTGTAACGGTGACAGCCCTGAAGGGGAAAGAGAGCCACCAGGAGGTCAGGTCAGAGAGTACCAGGAGCCAGACCTTCCAGGGCTTTGTGGGGGCCAGGGAAGGACCCTGACTTGTTTTCAGACAGCCCTGGGAAGATTTGGGACGAGGCATGACATGGTGTGACTGTCGTGTTACCCATAGACCATGAGGAGGGGCAGGAGTATTGGAGGCATTTGCAATAAACCGAGAGAGGGAGAGAGGGAAAGGGAGAAGGGCAGCTCCAGGGAGGGGGAACAGAAGGTGAAAGGTGAAAGGCTGTGCTCAGACTCGGGTAGGTTGGAAGCCCAGCAGCTGACAGGCTTGGTTGATGGGCTGGATGAAGCGTAAGAGACACAGAGAAAAGTCAAGGATGGCTCCGAGGTTTGGGGCCCCAGGCCTGGGAAAAAGGGTCTGCCATCAACAGAGGCAGGAAGTGGGCAGGGAGCCCAGGTCTGGGGAGCAGGTGTTGGGAGAAGGGTGCTGGAGGGGTCAGTCGGACAGGCTCCGAGGGGCCCTTCGGGTGGGCAGATGGGAGCTACCTCTGGGTGGCCGTCCATTAAAGCCAGCGAAGCGTCACCATCAGCCTGCTGCCAACAGGCTCGGGGCGGGAAAGTTCGGACATTTTCCATTTCTCATTTGCAAGTCCAGTCGCCAGTGGCCCAGGGAGGGGGAGACCCCTTTGGGGAAGGAAGGGTCCCGGGAATGGATGTGGCTGGGCCACATCGATCATCATAGCGGGCAGAGCATCTCAGGGAGCGGAGAGACCACAAGCTCCAGGCCACCGAGCTTGGAGGTGGCCCAGCAGGCTGGGTCCACCCCTGTCTCTTCCTCGCGACATCGCCCCTTAAGCACCAGGACGCGATGGCCCTCCGATCGCACCCCAGGTCCGCGAGTCTCCCAGCTGGGCTGTGCATCTCTGAGTCAGGGACTCAGAGGGACTGTTCTGGCTCCCGGGACTTTGGGTAAACACAGCAGACGTGAGCGGGTCATGGTTTGTTACGAAACGCAGAAGCTTCCGTGTTTTCCTGAGGGAAACACAAATCCCTTTTCCCTGGGATTTTCCACAGCTTTGCGGTGAGGACCTCACCACGTACTGGGGAATGGGCTGTGGCCCCTGACCTTTCTCCCAGAGCTCTGTTTACTTTTGCAGAAAACTCTGGAAGGGCCTACAGACGCTGCCTGGCTCAGGGCACCTGGCAGACACTGGAGAACTCCACAAATATTTGGCAAGATGATTCCGAATGCTCCAAGAAGCACAGTTCCGAACAGAAAGTGAGTCTGCTTGGCCCGGTGACGACGGGGTCCTCCCCTCCCCC